ACTATTATAACCAAAATGAATATTTTACAATCCTGTAGATAAATAATAATCTTAAAACCCACCTTTGACCAATTTTTCAGGTTATCAACTTTGGCTTGCTCCGCAAGGGTTCTGTTTGTCTTGCAAGGAATCTGAGCCTCTTCTCCCTGCAGGCCGTTATGACAGCAGGCGTACCAATCTCCATCAAACAATACAGAGACGACCCACAGCAGACCGATCACAGAAGCCTTCCCTATCTGAATAAGAATAAGATGGCAAAATCTTTCTTGACTGTCGCTCCTTGTCGTCATACAGCAGTACGCCCTGCAGGTACCATTGAAGACCTTGTCCTTCCAAAGTAACAAAAGGATTATTATAAAAATCGGCACACTGATGTATAAATTGCAGTGAAATTTCTGATCCTGGCAGGTGCAGGCCACATCTCTGTCAAACAAAACATTGTGCGTGAAAATCACAATGATCGTAGCGTAGGTGGCAATCTGAGTTAAGTGAGAAACCAGGAAGTTTTTCATCTTGGTCTGAACGTCCTTAGATCCCGACACTGTGATCAGATGGTTAGAGACTGCAGACAGTTTATGCATCAAATCATCTTCAGAACAAGAACCTCCCTCCATGCTGTAGCATTGTTACGGTATAAGATAAACACCGCCCATCCCAACCAAAGAACCTCCTATTTCTTCACATCTTTCATCTTGTCACCACTTGATGTGCAGGAACAAGACGGAGCAAGTCTGTCCTCTGAAACCAGATCTCTTCAGATGTTCATTTTCATTATTTACTGTAAAGTTTGATAGTAAAACCAGCGAAGATCAATAATAATAATTAGTATATTAAATTAACACTGAGTTTATGCTGTAATAATGGGAAGCTTGACTGTAAGTCCAATGGAGACATGAAACCAAGTTTATTTTAGTTCTAACTGGTGAAAATCTTTTGACATGAAAGGAATGTAAATAAAGAAACAAAAGTTTAACAGAAAACGTCCTGCGTTCACGTAACCTTCTGGTTCTTGGAAACATTCCTGGCATTTCTTTATTCGGACTCCTGCTTGTAGAGACAAGAGAAAATGGCTCTTTGTTCGCTTGAAGTATCATGAATGGAAAACAAACAAAGTCATGAAGCTGGTTTGAACTATCTGCCCTGCTCCTCTGCTGATTTCACTAAAGGGGGTTTAGAAACGAATAGATGCCACACTTTTCAGATCAGATGAGAATAACAGGGAGTTTAATAATCAGATAAACACAAACTGAGTTTTGTATCAGATCATCAGATTCATCCAGACTGAAACTGTCCAGTGAAACGTTTCCTTCTGCTGCTGCTCATCTGAAGCTCTTCCTGAACAAGATGCAGGAAATTCACTCAGTCAGCAGCCACATGTTTAAAAACCATTTTAATATGAGGAAACAAAAAGTACATAGATCTTTAACATCCAGATGTTAACCACAGATTTGATTCATTTCTGTTTTTCTGAGGGAGATAAAATCAATGGACCTTACCACAGGGGCCGCGTTTCATTGGCTAATGCCCACGTCACAGCGTAGCTACCATGTGGTGACCGTCTCACAAACACAAGCCACAGTAGTAAACACATGCTAATGTACATTGTGGACTAGCAGACCGGCAGAAAGTTTTTGCGTCAGGACTTGAATAAGAATGGTTCTCCACTGTCAGTGGGGAATCTGTACAGGTGATGTCAGGTACCCTGATCGTATTTG